CAGCCCAGGTCTCAGTGGTGTGCGTGGGAGAGAAGAGGAGGCAGGAGGAGCGTTGCAGCAGCTCGGAGGTGGGAGGTCACAGGAGGGACACGGCGGCTGAGGTGGGAACCGTCCCGTGGCCTCCCACTCCTTCCCGTCTTGTGTCATCCCACGGCCGGCGCTGTTTGAGGAGCTGGTCCCCATCTCCTGCCTGCCGACAAGCCCAGTCTCACTGGGAAGTGTTGCCACACAGCAGCTGGGTTTGTCCTGCCGCTGCTCACCGGGAGCTGTGGCAAGGAGTGACCTGGAAAGCCCCTCCGGACACCTGGGAAAACCCTTCCACAGCACGGGTGGCATCCCAAGAGGAGCCTTCCCATCCCTCTGCCTTCCCTCCAGCCCCCCTGACACCTGAAGCCTCAGGTGGGAGGCTCCAGGTGGTCCAAGGAAACACCAAGTAGGAAGGAAATTATGAGATCAAGGGGAGCAACCTCACACCCTGATTTCCCCTCTCCTCCCCTGCTTTGTGGGAATTCTCTCAGGATTCAGAGAAATGGTGGTGCAAATAAAACATTAAGCATTCCCCACACAGCGAACAAAAATCACTTTGAAAACCCTCAGAAAATCCGTGAAATGGGCTTTGAATGCTCAAGGACTTTCACTCCACGCTCAGCTCAAGCTTCAAAGCTCAAAACACAGACACAGAATCATCCAAATATTAAAATGCTCAGCTCAGAAAAGACCTCCAAGGTCATTGAGTCCAACCATTCCCCCAGCACTGCCAAGGCCATGTCCCCAGGTGCCACATCCACATGGATTTTAAATCCTCACAGAGATGGTGACACCACCACTGCCCTGGGAAGCCTGTGCCAGGGCTTGACAACTTTTTCAGGGAAGAAATTACTTCTTATATCTGACCTGACCCTCTGCTGACAACTTAAGGCTCTTTCTTTTTCTTCTGTCATTTATTACCAAGGGACTGGAGCCCGACCCTCTCCTGGCAGGACTTGTGCAGAGCCAGAAGGGCCCCCTGAGCCTCCTTTTCTCCAGGCTGAGCCCCTTTCCCAGCTCCCTCAGCCTCTCCTGGGGCTCCAGCCCCTTCCCCAGCTCCGTTCCCATCCCTGGACACGCTCCAATGTCCTTGTCATGATGAGCCTAAAACCTGAGCACAGCCAGTACCTGATGTACACAAGGAATGAATAGATTCAACACAATGAGCATTTTCCATGCTAAAGACAGGAACAGCTGTCAGACCATCCCTGTGCACCTCTCTCCTCACTCTAGATGTGATCCAGCTTGTCCTCAGACAAAATGCCCACAGACACATCAGGCACAAACACGCAGGGAGAACAAAAAGCACTCCAGGCAGCAGAGAGAACTCAGCAGCGCAGCGGGGACATGCCCCAGTGCCAAGCTGTTTTCTTTGGATCCCTGATTCCTTTCATACCTTTTCAGCTCTGCAAAAACATCTCTGGGCCCCACAGTAACTCCCCAGCAGAACATCTGCCCACTTTAAAGCTGGTTGAGCTGCAGCAGTGGTTGGTATCCCCTGCAGATTTCTCTAATCAATAGAGAAAGAATAGAAACTACTCAGGGACCGCAGGCTGGGACATGTCTGACAAGAGCGGGAGAATTTGCACAACAGGCTGGGCTGAGAGAGGAGCTGGGGACACATGGGGAACAGCAGGAGGCATGGGAAGGGTGGCATGATGTGACATGATGTGACATGTGACAGCTGAGCGGGACCGTCCCTGCCCGTGCCCTGAGTGCCCTGATCCAGATCCCTCCACAGGAAAGATGAGACCACGGTGGCTCCCCAAGGTCCCCATTCCCTGTCCTGCAGCCAGGGGTGGCTGGGGAACATCCCAGCGCAGCCCAGTGAACCCCAGTGCACCCCAGTACATCCCAGTGCATCCCAGTACATCCCAGTGCATCCCAGTGCACCTCACTGCATCCCAGTGCATCCCAGTGCACCCCAGTACATCCCAGTGAATCCCAGTACACCCCAGTGCATCCCAGTGCATCCCAGTGCATCCCAGTGCACCTCAGTGCATCCCAGTGAATCCCAGTACATCCCAGTACATCCCAGTGCATCCCAGTACATCCCAGTGCATCCCAGTGCACCCCAGTGCATCCCAGTACATCCCAGTACATCCCAGTACACCCCAGTGCTGTGTTTCTCCTGGCAGCTCCAGAGCTGCCTTGCTGAGTCCTCTCCTGGCAAGTACCGGGCTCTGTCTGCACAGGAAAAAAGAAATCTCTCCTCCCTCTCTTTGGATCCTTAAGAGCAAATTCTCAGCTCAGCCTCCCAGCCAGGGGCAGGGCCTGAGCCTGTTCCCAGCTCCTCTCAAGAGGCTCTGGCTGCTCATCCTCTTCCAGCCAAAGGTTTGCAGGGCACTGCTGCAAGAAGGCTGAAGCCAATAACAGCTCCTGCAAGCTGTTGGAACTCAGAGCTGGCTCCTCTGGAAATCCTTGGCAAATAAAATGAAAATAAACTCTGAGTGTTCCCTGCAGATATCTGTGTCCGTCTGCTGGCAAAGCCCATGCCTTGAACATGTTTTAAGCTTTTTGTAGCACTCACAGTAGGAGAAAATTAAATTTGACACTCGTGGTCAAAATATTAATCTACTATTTTCAGTATTTTATCCTAGAATATGCGACTGGGATCCCATTAAAAAAAAAAACAACAAAGAAACAACCACTTGTCTGCGCAGCACAGAAATACAAGTTTTTATTTGAGGATAAGTGGAGACACACCTACCCTGAAATGACATATGGGCCCTGTAAAAGCAGAGAGCAGTCCTTGTCCCCAAGGCTTCGCAGTCTAAATGAAAACAAACAGTGAATTAAGGAAGGAAACAGAAGGAAACAGAAGGAAACAGAGCCAGTCACTTGTCTGAGGTCTGACAGGAGCGATGTGCTTTGCCTGGGATTGGAGCACTCGGCCCTTGGGGCTTTACAAAGCTCTGCTGGGTGAGAGCTGGACCTGCCCCAGCCCTGAACCCCCCGCCCTGGGCTGAGCCCAGGATTCTGCCCCTCTGTCCCTGTGCCCAGGTGAGACCCCACCTGCAGAGCTGCCCCAGCCCTGGGACCAGCACAGGGAGCACCTGGAGCTGCTGGAGAGATCCAGAGGAGGCTCCAGGGGGATCAGAGGGATGGAGCAGCTCTGCTGGGAGGAAAGGCTGGCAGAGCTGGGATTGTTCACCTGGAGAAGCTTTGGGGTGAGCTCAGTGTGGCCTTGCAGAGCCTAAAGGGGCTGCAGGAAAGATGGAGAGAGACAATTGACAAGGGATGGAGGGACAGGACAAGGAACCATGGTTTCAAACAGTCAGAGGGCAGAGATGGATGGGATATTGGGAAGGAATTGTTCCCTAGGAGGGTGCCCAGAGCAGTTGTGGCTGCCCCTGGATCCTTGGCAGTGTCCAAGGCCAGTCTGGAGCAGCCTGGGATAGGGGGAGGTGTCCCTGCCCATGGCACAAGGGTGGAACTAGGGGACCTTTAAGATCCCTTCCAACCCAAACCATTCTAGGATCCCCTCTTATCTCCCTAAACCATCCTGCTTTTCACTATTTCTTGCTTACTCTTCCATACTTTCTCCAGTCTCTTCCCTCCCTGCTCTGCTGGCAAGGATCCCATCCTTGCTGCTGGCAGCCTTAGTCAGCCTCGCTGACCAAACCACGTGTTCTGCTCAGAACATGACTTGTAGCTCTCCAGAGTATCAACAGCTGCACCCAACTTCTGCATAGGAAGATTTTTTTGCAGCGTCATTGAAGTGAGAAGAGCTGGTTGAATTTTTGTAAAGGAAAGGGATGTTACAGCCAGCCTGGGACATGAGAAAATAATTTTATTTCTTTGATCCTATTTTTTAAAAGCACAAATCTGAAATGCTTTTCATGGGGAGGTGGGGGGAAACCAAAGATCTCTCACTAAAAAAAAGTGTTGAACCTTCCAGACTGTTTCTCTACCCAGGGAAAAGGAGAAGTTCCTGCACATCACTGTGTGTGCATATCAAAGTAGGACACACCAGAGAAACTTTCTGTTTTAATGAGAACTTTCCTGGGGACAAAAAAAATAATCCAGCTTCAGCAGTTTGGGTAAGTCTAAATGGCAACACCTCATGCCAAGCGCTTCCTAAATGAGCAGATTTCCTGGGAGAGGGTGGGCTGCTGCAGAGGGACAGAGGGAGCAAGGAAGGAACTTTCCTGGGATACAGGAACCCCTTCCAGCTGGACATCAGAGCTTGTGTGTGTGAGCCCTCGTGGTTTGTGTTGCTGCTCAGCTCCAGAGGATCCCAAAGGCTGCAGCCCCTCTCTGTCAGTGCAGCAGCTGGCAGCCAAAGATTGCCATCCTTTTTCCCCCCAAGTACAGTAAAATCACACTTTTCCAAGCAGCAATAGCAGACTGCTGTGACAGCACAATTTTTTTGGTAATATGATTTTGGAGAAGATGACCCCAGAGCAGACAAACATCCAATTTTGGGCCTTAGCCCCGACGTTTTTGCACATTGAGCAAGGGGCAGCCTCTTGTGAATTCTGCTAACACGGGGACATGAAGCAACACGTCAGAGGAGCGGACCCCTTCTTTGGGGTCACTCGCTTCCTGCCATCTCACCTTCCCCAAAAGCTTCTTCCCCTTTCTCTGGGAAAGAAGAAACCGCCGGGCTCCGCTCGCCTCTGCCTCTCGCTCTCCCCCTGCTTCTCACTTTCACTCCCGCTGGTTTCACCTTCCCTCTGCCAGGAGGAAAAGCCTGCGGAGCTTATCCAGCCCAGCAGCAGGGCTGGTCCTGGTTCCACCCACTGGGACTTTCCTGGCTTCCTTCTGCAGGAGCGGGGGGAGGCAGGAGCGGTCGGAGGCAGGAGCCGGCCGGAGGGAGCGCGGCGCTCCCGCTGCTCCTGCCGGGCTCGGTTTCTACTGTAGGCGGTGCATTCCTCGGGAGGGAGGGAGGGTGTGCTCCGGTGCCTTCCCACACTCGGGACAGCTCTTATTTAATGGGGGTCTCCATGCAGGGCAGCGCCACAAGAGGTTTGGCCGTGCCCGGCTGTCCCGCAGGACGCTGCTGCCATGGAGAGCGCGGTGGAGATCGGAGCCGAGCCCGCGGCTCCCGGCGGCGCCCAAAGCTCCGGGATGCAGCTCCGCAGGGATCTGAGGAGGATGCGCTGGGCTCTGCTGCTGTGCCTGCTGGCCGTGCTGCTGCTGCTGCTGCCCACAGCCTACCTGCTGCTCGGGAACCTGCGAGCGCCCGGCTCCTGCGGCAGCCAGGTAAGGCACCGACTCACCTGGCTCCGTCCCGCGCCTCCCAACGGAGCCTTTCTGGAGTTCTTTTCGTGAATTTCTCGCCTTCGAGGGCACCTGTGGGACTGGCTGGTGCATTCCTTCTTCTTTACCCAGAGGATAAATCTGATTATTGCTCGGTATTTTTAACTAGCGGTTCCTTACTTTCACTGAGGTTACAAGCAGTGTGAAAAGCTTTTTTTAAAAAAACTTTTATTGCTGTGCTGCGAGGAATGCTTAAAAACAAAAATAATCACTGATTGGCAGAAATCACTGCCTCTGCACTGATTTCTGCCAGATTTTTGACACTATGGCTCATTTTCCTGCCTTCTTTCGGGTTAAATGTGCGGCTTTCCCTGGCAGTGTGTGATTTCAGGGAGATGTGCTGATGTCAGTGCGTCAGTCACCCATCACCGCGCTGACTGCCACAGCTCTGGTGAATCAGTGATCATCATTAATGCGAACTTCTGCGGAGATCTGAGACAATTAAGGGAGCCTGACTCTAAACTTGGCATCCTGTTTCTAACTCCTCGTGAAAACTTAGTCCAGGGCTCTTCTCCTTTGCCAGACAGCTACACCCACTTTGCTCCCAGCCGTACAAACTCGTGCTGTGCTGCTTCCAACCCTCTCCCACGCTGCTCCATCCCTCCTGCGAGCGCCGATTCCCTCGGGAGCTGTGAGTTCAGCAGGAATGCCCCTTGCTGTAGGTCTGCTGAATTAAGCTTTGCATTTTTAGCTCCAGGTCTGAAATTCCCCAGTTAATCAGCTGGTTGGGAGGAAGGACCCGAGAAGGGGGGGTTGTTTTTCAGTGTCACCCGGCTCACGTTCAGCCCGGGGATGTTTAGGGAGGGTGGGAGCCGCTGGAGGCTCCCAGGGCCGTGCTGGCCCCGCTGTGACCCCGAGGCTGCGCTGCCCGAGTGATGCTCAGGGTGCGGCATCCTCTGTGCTGCCTCCCTGCGAGCTGGGGCAGCCCCTCGGGCTGCTCAATCCGGCAGTTCCTCAGTGGCTGAGCTGGGGTTTGCCCTGAGCCTGTCACCGCCGGCTCCAGCTGAGAAAACCAGGCTGCCCTGGCTGCAGTGCCAGAGCACAGCTTGATTCAGGGGCTGGGCCCGTTCTGAGAGCGTTTCGAGAGGATTCCTTCAGCTCCACAAGTGTGGAATTGTGGCAGGGCCGAGGCTGAACGCGGAGGGGCTTGAAAAGAGATTGGGGGTAAAGGACACGAGGTGCTTTGGGCAGTCTCTGCTGCCGCTCTGGGTTTGTTTGTGTCCCACGAGAGCAGAACTGTTCAGTCTCGAAACAGTCTTGGAGTGGAAGAATAACAAAATTTTAACTTGTTTAATCAATCCAGTTATTTAAGTTAATTAATTTTTTATTATTATTTATTATTATTATTTATCATTTGGTCTCGAAACAATCTTGGAGTGGAAAAATAACAAAATATTAACTTGTTCAACCAATCCAACTATTTAAGTTATTTAGCTAATTATTTCTTTATTTATTATTACTATTTAGTCTCAAAACAATCTTGGAGTGGAAGACTAACAAAACGTTAACCTGTCCAATCAATCCAATTCTTTAAGTTATTTAATTAATTATTTCTTTATTATTATTTATTATTATTATTATTTAGTCTCGAAACAATCTTGGAGTGGAAGAATAATAAAATTATCATTTGTTTAATCAATCAATGGCTCATGATCCTGTTGGCAGAGGAAAGTACTTTTATGAGTTGGTTTGGCTGCTTAAGAGGAAAAGCAGAATGTAAAGGGTCGGAATTGCGGTGCAGGTTTTCATTCCCATGCACCTGCTCACAATTAGTGACACGTAATGTTTCCACAATGATGTAAGGAGGAGATCAGAGCAGTTCCAAGCTCTGTGAGTCGCGGGGAGGAAGAGGAAAGTCATGGGGGCTGGCTGGGTGCCCTGGGAGGAGCTGGGCACTGCCTGTCCCTGGGATTTCATTCACTCTGCTGCTCTGTGCTCATCCCTGCAGAAGGCACAGGATGTGGCTGTCAGTTCCCCCAGGAGCCTGCAGCTTCAGGGTGGGTCAGTCCCTGGGAATATTTCTGGGCATAAAAGCTCTCTGGAAAATGTCTTCTTGCATTTCCTTTTGCATTCGAAGTTTGCTAAACAGCTCCATCCTCGTGTGCCCCATCGACAGCTCGGATCAGGAGTTCTGGGACCAGCCAGGTGTGGCAGAGCTCTCTGGGCACTGGTTTTGGGGTGTGGGCACTCTGGGACGAGTGAGCAGCACTGAGTTTGTCCCTCCTGAGCCTTGCAGCCCTCTGGTTGCCCCACAGAGCTCTGCCCACACACGATTGTCACCTTCCAGTGCTCTGGGGACAGGAGGGAGGGACTCGGCAGGTGAGAAGCAGATTCAGTCAATTCCTGAGTCCTTCCTGGAGCAAGGAGGAGCAGGGAAGCCCGGGAAGGTTTGTGTTCCTGGGCACGCTGCTTTGATCATCCCTGCCATGGGTGCAGGTGGTGTCCCTGGTGCCTGTGAAGGGATGCAAACTCACCTCTTCAGCTGGAAATGTCCCCGTCAGGACAAAGCAGGACAAGTTATGTCATTACAGCGACACGTGTGTTCCCTCTGTGTCATGGGATGATGCATCTTGATTGAATAATTCCAGTCTGGTGACGTTTTTCCTTGGACACCTTCCAGGTTCCTTTGAGACAGAGAAATCACTTTATTTTGTGCTTCAATCCAGAGTGAGGAGAGGAAATAGGGTTTTTCAAACCAGAACACATGGCTTGTGTTACTAGAAAGAAATCTATGTAAAGGCCATAGGGGTGTCCTGCCGGAGCAAGGGTCATCCTTCCTCAAAGGGAAGCCAAGTTTCAGTCTGAGTTCCCAAAAACCATCAATGGAATGGCACAGGAGAGCAGCTCTGGCTGCCTCAGCATCCCACTCAGCAGAGCATCAAGTGGCCTGGAGAAGCTGGTGTTTGGGTTTACTGTCCATGGCATGTCAGGGCTGCAAGCAGCATCCAGAGGAATTCCAAACCCTGTGTGCCAGGTCTGTGCCATGTCAGCTGGCAGTGGGGAAGGGACCTGCTGCAGAGCAGGATTGAAAACCCCAGAGGCTCCACCTGGATCCTGCCAGAAAGCTGGCAACAAATCCCAGCAGAGATCAGCCCTCATGGCCTGCCCATAAAGGAAGGAGAACCTCAAAAGGCTTCCTGGTTTTTGGGGAAGGAGAAATGTCTGGGGAGGAGCAGCAAGCACACCTGGATGGGCCCAGGTGTTGGGATTCCCCTTCCAAAGCCAGCACCAGTTAAAATCCCTGCCTGGCCACTGATGCTGGATGCAAATGTTCTTTGTGGGCACATGCCTTGGGTACAGGACTCCCCTGGGCAGCAAAATGTTCTGATTGAAGCCAGTTTTTACTGGCACAGACCAATTCCTACCAAAAATTCCCAGCCCAGGCCATGCAGCGTCTCTGGAGTTAGAAAAATTTGTGTTTATGTACTGCACATGACCTGCAGAGATCCCCCCTGTGAAAATGGAGTGGATGGAGGAGCTGGGGGTATTTTGTTTATCAGTCCCTCTGCCTGCAGTTCCAGCTGCTCTTCCCATGCCATTGGATATCAGCCCTTCTTTTTGGGTTTAGCAGTGTCTGGATATAAATGTATTGGGGATTTTGGACATTTGTGGTTCCAGAAGTGTTCTGCACAACAGCAATCCCCAGGGTAATTAGAGCTGCCTCTCCAAATATCTGTGAGTCAGCTCAAGGTGGGATTTTCAGCATCACTCAGTGGCTGGGCTCTCCAGAGTAACCAAAGGGAAAGTTGAGGCTGTGAACTTTTCAGGATCACAGCTGAGCAAGGAAGGGAAAAGAGAGAAAAGCACTGATTGAATGTTCTCTGCTGCTCAGCTCTCCCTCCCCATCAATGCACAGGTATCACTGACACGTGCTCATTGTACAGCACTGTGTTCTGCTAACACATTTTCTGTAGGAGATTCAGATTTATATTTACACCCTTATGAGGCAGCACAATTAGGATAAAAAGAACAGCCATACCTTTGCCAAGCAACAGAATAATTTCACAGCTTGCTCTATCCCCCTGCTCTGTCCTTCAGCATCTCTGAAAGGAGCTCCTGCTCCTGCAGTTTCCAGCTGGTTTTCTTGGGAAACAAGTAAATTTAGGTTTAAACAAAACCTTTTTGTTATCTTTTGTAAAGAAGCAGAATTCCTCTTGCTCTCCTTCCCGTTTTCCTGCCACCTCTGTTTGGATTGCAGCAACCGAGTTTATACAAGTTGGGCTTCAAGTATGTAAACAGTTCCACAGAAGTTACGTTCTTAAATGCAGGTTTGGGATTGATTTTTTCTCTGGCTGCAGGATCTGTAGAGGATGGGATCACCAATGAGAATTAGTCACTTGGGAAATATGTGGGAAATGTAACACAAGGAATGTGTAAATATACTCCTAGGTGCATACACCTGGCTGAACGCAAGAGGAGTGTGAGGGAAATCCTTAATTCTCACCTTGTGCTTCCTATCAGGGCAGGGACTGGGTCACACCACCAGGGCACTCATGGTTACTCACCACAGACAGCAGGACTTTGAAAGTCCTTACACATCATGAAAGGCTCAGAAATCTCCTAGGCAGCACAGCAGCAATTTTCCCTCAGCCCCACACTGGAGTTTCACAGCACTCTCTGCCAGGAGCCTGCTGGGGCTGGGCTACACATTTCTGTACAGGTGGGCAAGGGAATGAAATAAAAAACAAATGGGGAATTTTTCCCTGCTGTTTTCCTTCTCCATTTTTTCCCAACACACTGAAGCAACTATTTTAGAAATGACTGTTTTCTGCAGGAGCACATGGATGTTTACTTCCAGTAAAACATTAAACCACCTTTGAGTTTACTTTACAGCAGTCCCCAGCCCCAGGCAGGCTGACTCTCCTTCCACAAACATTCCCCCTCCCCAACCAATATAAATTATCTATTTTCTCCTTCTCCTGCAGTGTTCTAAGCTGTGTGAGACACAGCCAGCAGGAGACAGCTTCAGCATCCACACATTAATATTGATTCAGCCTTTTACTGGGCAAAGATCCTCCTTTTTATTGGCCTCAGATCCTTCACTATGAGCTGACCAGGGGTGGTTTATTCTGTTTATTCATTCATTTATTATTATGCATTTTTGGTGGCTGCCCATAAAACACACCGTGCCAGCCCCATGTGTCCCTGACAGATGTTCTGGGATGGGGGTTTGTGACAGCCCCGAGGGTCAGTCCTGAGGGTCAGCCCTGAGGGTCAGCCCTGAGGGTCAGTCCTGAGGGTCAGCCCTGAGGGTCAGTCCTGAGGGTCAGTCCTGGGGGTCAGTCCTGAGGGTCAGTCCTGAGGGTCAGTCCTGGGGGTCAGTCCTGAGGGTCAGTCCTGAGGGTCAGTCCTGGGGGTCAGTCCTGAGGGTCAGTCCTGAGGGTCAGTCCTGGGGGTCAGTCCTGAGGGTCAGTCCTGAGGGTCAGTCCTGGGGGTCAGTCCTGAGGGTCAGTCCTGAGGGTCAGTCCTGGGGGTCAGTCCTGAGGGTCAGTCCTGAGGGTCAGTCCTGGGGGTCAGTCCTGAGGGTCAGTCCTGAGGGTCAGTCCTGGGGGTCAGTCCTGGGGGTCAGCCCTGAGGGTCAGTCCTGGGGGTCAGTCCTGAGGGTCAGTCCTGAGGGTCAGTCCTGGGGGTCAGTCCTGGGGGTCAGCCCTGAGGGTCAGCCCTGAGGGTCAGCACAACCCAGGCTGCTCCAAGGGCTGCTCCTCACAGCCGCACGAGGCTGGATGCAGAAGTACATCCCGCAGCATCCTGCAACTTCCACAGCATCCCCCAGATCCCCGCAGCTCCCGCAGCATCCCGGAGATCCCCGCGGCATCCCGCACCTCCTGCAGCATCCGCAGCTCTCTGCAGCATCCCCACAGCATCCCACAGATCCCCGCAGCATCCCGCATCTCCTGCAGCATCCACAGCTCCCGCAGCTCCCGCAGCATCCCACAGATCCCCGCAGCATCCCGCACCTCCTGCAGCATCCACAGCTCCCGCAGCATCCCGCAGCATCCCACAATTTCCACAGCATCCCACAGATCCCCGCCGCATCCCGCAGTATTCCACAACTTCCCGCAACTTCCCTTAGCTCCCGCAGCTCCCGCAGCTCCCGCAGCTCCCGCAGCATCCCGCAGTTTCCTCCCTCTGGATCTGCCCGGGGAGCGCTGGGGCAGCCCCGGCCGTGCCCGGGTGACTTGGGGTGCCCGTGGGACAGGTCCCGGTCCCCCCGCACGGCTCGGGCTCAGCAGCATCCAGGCAGCGCCCAGGGCCGTGAGGGAGCGGCTCCAGAGGGGAATTGCAGAGGAAAGGAGGGATGAGCCGTCCCCAGAGCAGGCTCAGAGCAGCAGAGCTCACCCCGCAGCTGCTCTCAGATCTGCTCAGCTCCTGTCCCCCAGAAGTCACCCAAAATTCCAGACAGACCTAAGGGACGGGCTCAGTCTGGAAGGAGACAGGTGCAGGACAAAAGGCAGGTGGGGCTGATCCACCTCGGTGTCTTTGCTGGTGCTGTAGGGGAATCTTTAAAGGCTCCTGTAAAGGCTCCTGCCCTGCCCAGAGGTCTCTCCCTTTGCTCTGCACGGAGCGAGGGGCAGCAGAGGGGTTCCAGCAGTGCTGGGCAGAGTCACCATCCCCGGCTGCCTGAATCGCCCTGCCCGCTCTGCTGCTGCTCCCCAGGCTATGCCGAGGGCTTGTCCAGCCTCACAACTGAACAAACCTCCCCCAGGGTCCTGGAACCCTTTCAGAGATGAAGGCAATTCCAGACCAACAGCAGGAACATCTTGCAGTGAAGCAAATCTCACCTTTTTGCCGAACAGCTCCACCTGAACTCAGTGACATTACTGCAGCTATTGCATGTTCTGGGATAATTCTGTGAGCTGACTGCCTGTCTCTCTGCCCTGCAGGTCACAGAGGATGGGGGCTCTCGCTTTCTGAAGCAACGAGCAGTAGCTGCTGGTGAGTTTGTCACCCTTTCCCCACTGCAATCCCAGCACACAGCTCCCTCTGCCCTCAATCCCTGCCCAAACCAGCCAGGGCACAGCTGGGTGAGAAGACGCAGGAGGTAAGCGGGGCCAGAGTGAAATGGGAGCATTTCTAACCCCGGGCTGTGAGAGCTGTGCAGGCACAGCTGCCCCCACAGCCCTGCAGGGTCAGTGGGACCCCCTGAACGAGCCCAGGCAGGGATTTGGGAGCCCGTGCTCCTCACAGTTCCCCCCTGCTCGCCCTCTGGCAGTTCAGGACACAGCCACAAAGCTCCCTGTTGATGCTGCAGGTCTGACAAACTCCCTCCTTTGTGTTTTATTACCTTGGGGATGTCAGTAAGAGACCACAGCAAATAATTCCCGACTCAGACCTCTGCAGAAGAGGAGGGGGCCTGCACACGTTTCCTCTCGGGCATCAATCACCACCCACGTTCTGTTGACTCAGGGCAAGGTTCTTCCCCCAGAGGCTGCTGGCACTGCCCAGGCTCCCCAGGGAATGGGCACGGCCCCGAGGCTGCCAGAGCTCCAGGGATGCCCAGGGTGGGATGTTGGGGGGTCTGGGCAGGGAAGGAGTTGGACCTGGATAAACTTTGTGTGTCCCTTCCAGCTCAGGATATTCTGTGATTTTATTATTGAACACCAGCAACCATCCTCACACCATTTTTTTCCTTTTTCCCTCAGTTACGAACACACTCTCCAGTGCAGAGAAGCCACGAGCTCACCTGACAGGTAATTCTTGCTCAAAACTAAAGCTTTTCTGCAGCAGATGATGTGGTTCAGTTCCCTTGGTCTGTGTGGATCTGACAGGAGCAGGTGTTGCAGGAGCCATGGGGAACACAACAATCAGCTCTGCCTTGTTGACCACGCCAGGCTGAGTTCAGTGTGGCTGTGGGAAAGGGCCCCTGAAGGAGGGAGCTGACAGAAATGTCACCACTTTTCCAAGCTCTTTCTTTCACTGAACAACCAGCTTTTGTTACTGAACTGAAATAGATGCCTGATGTCTCAGTGATCTGCTCAATCCTCCAGAAAAGGCATGGTAAGGAGCTCAAGTGAGCCCTCGTGGAGCAGTGGATTGGCAAGAATTACAAATTTTGGAGCAAAACCAGGTCAAATCAGGCCAGTTTTATTTTATTTTTCTATAAGGCCTGACTCAGACCACACACACACCATATTCCCATAAATCCACCTCCCTGTTTTCAGTGAGATAATCTCTGACACTTTTCAGAGCAAGCAGGGGAAGGAAGGGCAATGCCAAGCTGAGCCCTCCAAGCCTTTAGCTGTGGTAGGAAGGCACCATCACAGAGTCCTATCACAGGGTGGGCTGCCAGGCCTTTCCAAAGAGCTTCCAGGCCTTTCCAAGAGGTTTCCATGCCTTTCCAAGGGGCTGCCAGCATCTCCAAGGTCTCCATCTCCCCACCTTAGTCTTGACATTGCCCTGAGACTTCTCCCATCCTCTCCAGCTCCACCAACATGGAAAATTTAAGAGTTCCCAGAGCAAAGTTTCTGTCTGGCTCCAGTGTGGATGGAGTGAGTGCCAAAGGGTTTTCCAGCTGGCCTGATGCCATTTATTCCTCTCACTGCAGAGGCTTCCCCAACACCCTGAGTGTTGCCCCAGGGTGCATTTTGCAACTTGAGAAATGCAGGAAGTGCTGGGATGCTTCTCACAAACCCTCCTGCAGAGCTCAATCCAAATCCACCTGCAGGCTTCCATCAATCCTCAGCTCAGGGCTGAGGCATTTCCCTGCAGAGTTTTCTTCCTTTAATCCAGAAGCTCCTTCCTGATGCACATCCTTGGTGCTTTTCCCTTTGGCTCAGGGGTTTCTGGAGCTCCAAAACTCATCTGTCCTTGTCCACAATCACATCTTTGATTAAGTGCAAGTTTTAAAGAGCAGGAGGGCCATGTCTGCTACTGTAAGATTTTGTTTTCTTGAGTCCCCCATGGCAGAGAGATCCAGAGGCTCTGGTGACTCAGAGGAGCAGCCAAAGCTCTGCTCTGCTGCTGGGAACTTGCCTGCTTTACACAAAATCCCAGCTGCTACAGGGAAACACCCAACAGTTTGCTTCAAATTTCCTCAGCCTCCATATTTACAAAAAATCCTTTGCCATCATTCCCAGGCAGCCTCCCTGGGACTGTGGCCATCCTCTTTGGCATTCCACTGAGGGCCAGTCACTGCTGGCCACAGAAAGGAGCAAGAAAAGGGGAAAGTTCAGGGAATTTTTGCTCTCCTGTCTGCGCTGTGCTACATAGTAACCAAGGAACCCAATATCTGTGGATTATCTTTGACCCTTTTTTAGCCTGAACATATTCCTGCTGCTTCTCCCTGTGGCAAGGAGTTTCCCAGCTTAACAGCACTTTGCAGGCAGAGAATATTTCCTGTTATTTTCAACTCTTTGCATAATGATTTGTTGGGTTCCACCCTGGTTTTCTCTTCTCAGAAACCATGACTTAGGCATAGAAAGTGTAGAAGGAATATTCTCCTGATCTTTGTTACATTTCCCCACCTCAAGTGCCCTTTTCAATGTGAAAGTGGCAGACTACAAATCCTAAACTGTAGGAGATCTCTTCCACACCTTTATCCTGTCTTCTAGTTTTAGGCACATCTATTGTGAAGGTGAGAGCAGAGGAGTGAGAGGAATGAGAATTAGAGTTCTTTGGGAATGCACTGATTAATTGGCAGTAGCAGAATAGCTCCATGTTTTGGTGTCTGTTCCTTTATGATAAATCTTCCAGCTGCTCTTGGCCTTTTTAACTCACACTGAGAATTTTTATTCATCCAATCTGGAATGGAGCTCTCCCCTCCCTGATGACTTTACCCACTGAGATGTGCCAATACCCAGCTCAGACTTCCCTCCAACCCCATTTTCTCCTGTGCATTAATGTTTCTTTGGGGCTTCTCTTTGCCTTGCCATCATTCTCTCCCCACATCTTTGGCTGGATTTGGGCTCAGGATTCAGGGCAGTGCCTGTTCCTTCTTGTCACCAGCCTGTGGCACGGTGGATGACCAATGCTGCAGGACCTGCCTCGTGCTCCTCGTGCTGCAGTGGTCCCCAGCCCACCTCTAAATCTGGCCAGAGCATCATTTCTGCTTCCAAATTACCTTCATTAAATCCTCAGGGCATGAACTTGAGCTCCAGAGACCCTGCAGACACAGGACCTTGCACCACAAGGGCTTCACCACAGGCTCCAAACCCTTGCTGAGATTCAGAGTTCAGGATTAGGTGTTAAGAACTGCAGAAACCCCACAGATTCAGCACAAAATATATCCCAAATCTGACAGGCAACAGGGATTCTCCAGCAAGAGACTGAACCAAAAGGGATCTGGGGACAGGAGAATTAAGGGATGCCAGGAATTTATAGTGTGTGAGAAATGTGGCAATGAATCCCTTATTAAAAGCAGATGTTAATTCCTTCAGGAATTACAGGTATATATGCAGGAAGTAGAGCTCCAGAATTTAGGAAATAAATAACAGAGCAGCTGCTATTATTTATTTAAAAATAAATAAAAAACAGCTGCTGCTAGAAAAGGAGCTGTGCTGTATTAAAAAGCACTTGAACATTCATTTTATTCTCCTGACTGTTACTGAAAGCACGGGGGAAAGTAATTAACTTGAAAATAGAGAGCATCAATAGAGGGAAATTCATCCTAAGAGGGAGGTTAAAGCTGTGAAACCTGACTAATTCTAGAAGTTAGGAAGTCATGTAGTTCATTTGAGATCTTATCATATTCTATAACTAATAAAATGCATTTTATAATGAATATAAAAATTCATTGTGGAATGAGTGTCATTGACATTGCCAATGCATCATTCCACAAGAACAGGATATTTCACAGGCAGCTTCTTTTCAAGTTTCCCCCCAGATTCCAGAGATGGATTAGAGCCCAGGACATTTTCTGGAAGTATTCTGATCTTTCCTCATCCTTCCCACCTCAAACAAGATCTCTTCTGCTCTCTGAGATGTGTTGCTCCAGGCTCTTGCAAACCTTAGCGTGATCCAAAGCTCCCTGAGCTTTTCCCAGGATTCAGAGGAGTCCCTAACCCAAGAGGTGGATGAGGATGAAGGCAGACCAGGAGCACTTCCATTTTCTTTTATTCACCTCTCTGTATCTCCATTGTGTTTAACTTTATAATGCTTCTATAATTTAGCTTTCCTTTCCTTGTCCCCCCAGAATTTCTTTCCTCATCCACTTTGTCTCCAGGGAAGAGATCAGATTTGATATTTCAGCAGCACTAAAGAGAAAAGGCCATTATTTTGTTGTGCTACTCAGAGAATATAAAAGGAATTGCACTCCTAACACCTTCCTGTCTCCACATGGATTATTTATGGTTGGAAAAGAGGGAAATAGAGGCCACTGGGACATGAGCACAATCCTTTTTCTGAGTCTCATTTCACCCAGGATGGACCTAATGGTTATTGCAAAGGGAATTCCAAAGCCTTCCCTCACCTGCATTCCACTTGCCACCCTTCCCATGCACACACACCCCCTTCCCCAAATACTGAATAAAAATCAACTTCAAACATTAACACAAGCTCATTAAAAAGGTCTCAGTTCCTGGAGCTCTGTTCCCTCAATCTTTTCTAAACATTCATCATTCATTTTCCAGGTTCACTTTAATAGCTGAGATAATCTTCACGCTTTTTATCCTCTTCTTCCCACTGCTGCTGTTTTAGCACAACAGTTTTACGTGGCAGTCAGTAAAGAGGAGGGACAACTCTTGCAGAAAAGCGTGCAAGGCCTGAGGTTTATTGTCCTGTCTGTTGTGTGTGAGAAATCAAAGTGGTGAAGGCAATAGGGCAGCAATTCCCTCATTTTTCCCCTGCAGCCTGGGAAGCATCCTCAGCTTGGATCAGATTGATGCTGGGTTTAGGATGGAGCTCTGCTTGTAATCAGCTCACCACAAGATTGGGTTAAAAAAAAGTCCGGAGGAATGCTGAGGCTGACTCCAAACGTAGTATTTTGTTCCAGAAAAAAAGAAATAAAGAAAGAAAAGAGGAATAAAAATGGTTTAAAATAGAATGTGTTCCCTTTGTCTTGAAGCACAGTGGGGTCTTTGAGGTTTTTGCTAAAAATCCAGTGACCCTGATAGACCAAAAGCAATTCTACAAAAGATGTCCTTGAGAGCACTCAGGGGGAGAAGCTCGAGACAAGGGCTGAGCAACCCCAAGCCCCTTAAGAAGAGGCTTGGCAGGAGGAGAAGTCCAAGTGTCTCAGGGCTTGCTGACACATCGTGGTGACCAGTGTGGACATTTGGCAAGCTCAGCATTGCCTTTCTAAGAAGCAGAATGGCAATCCACCCCTGCTGAAGGAAAAGATGGTTTAGGATTTCCTCTTCCTGTGCCCAGCCCGTAGGTACAAGCGTGGTACAACTGTCCCAGTGCTGGTGTCACTCAAGGACAAGCTTTTCACTCTGGACATGGGTGAGGTGGGAAGGTAAAGCCATCTCCATTGCTTCCCAGTGCCAGGAGACTCAGCCTTGAGTCTCACTCATCCTTTGGGGTCTCACCCACAAGCAGGACCCCCAGGCACAGTTTACACTGTCAGGATCTTCCTAAAGCACCCTTGGCTTTCTGCCCCGACAGCTCAGCCTCAGAGGCCCTGTGGGCACCCTGGAAAACACCACTGGACAGTTGCCCTGCAGTACATTCGGCTCAGTTTCCAAGCTGAGAAATAAGAACATTTCTCCCCCAGCATTTTGCTCACCCTCTTTCAATTCCTCCCTGTTCAGAGCAGAGATTTCCCGTTAGATCCACACCCCTGGCTGCGGCAAACTCACCCACCCTCCTCTCTCTCTCTCTCCCTCCTGCAGTGAAGAAGCAGGACCTGGCCAGCGCCGTGGGGAGCCACATGCCCATCCTGCAATGGGAAGACAAGCGAGGCCTGGCCTTCACCAAGAACAACCTGAGTTATTCCAGCAACGCTCTGGTGATTCCTGTGTCTGGGGACTACTACGTGTACGCTCAGGTCACCTTCCGAGGGCCCGTCGAGAGCAGCCACAAGCCCAGCTCTGTCACTGAGATCATCACCAAGGTCACTGACAGCTACCCCGAGCCCACCCAGCTGCTGATGGGCACCAAGACCCTCAGTGAGAACAGCAATGGTTGGTTCCAGCCCATTTATCTGGGCGCTGTTGTCTCCTTGGAGGTGGGAGACAAGCTGATGGTCAACGTGAGTGACATCAAGCTGGTGGATTACACCAAGGAGCACAAAACTTTCTTTGGGGCCTTTCTGCTGTAGGACTCTGTCAGCAGCTGGTGGGGGATCCCTCCAGGGCCAGCGGGGGGACCTTGTTGGCTTTGTGGGTGCGTGTTGGGGTGAGATCTCTGCTGTTTTTCTTCTTCTTCTTCTTCTTCTCCTCCTCCTTCTGTGCCATCACTCCCCTGCAGCTCACCAGAGCCTTAATTTAATGGGTAGGGAAAGGTGAAGCTGCAGGTTGAAGTGAAATAAGCCCTCAAGAAAACCAACAAAAAACAACCCAAAACTAACTCAAAACCCACCCCCAGGAAAAAAAACCCAAAAAACCAAAAATAAAAACCCCAAAACAACAAAACTAACGAACAAACAAAACCAAAACCAAGCAAAAAAACCCAAAAACCCACAACCAAAAAACCCCAAAACAAACAAAGAAAAGCCAAACCAGAAAAATAAAAGTGATATTGGAGGGGGGAAAAGAAATGTATTTTTGAAAGCAAAAGTTGAGAGTTCTTCGAAATTTTGTAAACTAAGGAGGAACAGTTGATATCTGTAGGTAGGAATTTTCATCTTGAACATTGAGCTAGGTTATGTCAGTAATTCCACCTTCAATCTACAATTTCCTCAACTCAAAAAAAAGAAAAAAAGGGTTTTTGAGCTTTCTCCAGCACTTCCAGTATAGTTTTGCATGACCCTTCTTCAGATTCTCGTTTCTAAAAGGTAATTATTTCTCATAATTTCCTTATAAATAGATTTACTCAGTACTTTGCACTAACATAAAGCTCAGGTTAATTATTAACTGCTTAATTAATCCCTTCCAACTTCCCTGTAAAGTAGATTAAAATTATATCTTGTGCTTTGCAGAAGCTACTTGAGATTATTGGTTTTTCCAAAAAATTGTTTGCAGTTCTCCAAGTCCATATACAGCCTCAAAATGTTCTGGAAAAGATCTAGGGAACACACAAAACACTTTCTGTTTCAGCAGGAAAGTGGAATGTCCCTTCCAGGTCCTTACTTTAGGATAACAGAAAAAAAAAACAAACAAGGTAGAGACACAGAGCAGAATTTTGCACACTTTTAAATCAGCCACCGAAATTTTGGGAGAAATCCTCTGCAATGTTTTGCTTTCCATTAGAATTAATGCAAAACTAATGCAACTAAAGAAATCACTGCTTGGGCTCCACACACTGCTGATGGTGGCCCCTGGCCCCAAGGGACCCCCCAGCCTTGCCCTGGGTGAAGGTTGGCCACCAGTTGTCCCCACACAAGGTGAAAAGATCCAAAGACACAACCCTGGTGGAGCTCAGGGGTGTTGAACTTCCCACCTTGCACATATTCATTTCCATAGACCTTTGTGTCTATTCCCATTTTTCCCTCCCCTCCTGCAGCAAACACATCTCCAACAGTGGCTCAGGATCCTCATGGGTCTGGATTCACACCCTGAACAGTTCTCACAGCCAAGCACCCACTCCCAACCAGCAGGCTCCCCTCTCTACAGCTCTTCCCCCCTCACCTCCTTGGATTTCCTCCATTTTTCCACTTCTTGCCCAGAAAAGCAAGGCTTTGTTGCCTAAGCTGGTGTTCCCACTCCAAGCCCACCCATCAGTGCTGGAGAGACGCTGAGGTGGGGAATTGCAGCCCTGGGGGTGAGGGGTTGTATCTGGAGAGCTGAACCAGGCATCTGTAGTGGAGCCAACCCCAGGTGTGATCCTGCAGCTTTGTCCATGGCAAAGCCCTTCCCACCAGGAGATCTCTTGTGGCTCTGGGAGGATCCATTTGGGCTGACAAGGAGAAGTCAGTGGAGCAGCTGGAGCAGAGGCCAAAGGAGATTGGGAAGGGAGGAGAGGAGCAGAGCAGGAGGAAGGAAGGTCCAGGCAGCACCCGGATCTCTGTGGCTTCGTGTCTTGGTGTAAGGACCTCCCTGCTGGCATGAAAACTGGCAGTCTTTTGTGGTAAATCATCTCAAAATGGAGACTTTTTGCCCCTTCCTCCCTATCCTGCATCTCCTGGATCCCACAGTCTCAGTCCTTCCCTGTTTTAGGCACATCACCACAGCCAGGACTTTGCCACCCTGCCCTGCCCTCTTTTCCTCTGCGGGTGTCTTCTCGCTTCCAGATTTTCCTTGACTCTCATCAATGAGTGCTGGCCCCTGGCACAACTCTGCCTGTCTGGGGATCTTGACAAATTCCCTGCATCAAAACCTCATCCCAGTTTGGCTTCCCATCCTTTCTTTGACTCATCCTTCTCCTTCCCCACATCCACATCTCAGCTGTCCTCTTGATCCCTTCCTGCCTCCCTGGCCCTGTCCATTGGGTGCAAGGACACTTCTTTATCCAAATGCCACGTTTTACACTCAATTTCTCCGGAGCACAAAGAAAACTGACACCTCAAAATAGGTTTGGATTGGAAAAACTGGATTTAATTATCCTGCAGGCAGATGGAAACACTCTGAGTCAAGGGATCCTCTTATGTCTTTGTGATCCAGATCACTTCCATCTTTTGAGTCATTATTCCTATTTTATCTCCACCTGCTCAGCCTGTTTTTTTAAGCTGGGTTTGGAGCAGTTATTCCCCAATTATCCATTCAGTGTTTAGCACACACGACCTCAGCCTTGTTCTGGTGATCCAGCTCCTTTTCAGGGCTCCTCTTCCTGCTCAGAGATTCCTCCCCCAGTCCCTCACTCTTGGCATTTCTAGACAAAATTATTCCCTGTGAAACCCTGAGCCTTTCCATGTCTCAGATTTTGGGAAGTGTACCCCCAACACATCACCTTGAGTCTTTAATCACTTGGCTGTGTGCCCAAAACGGGATCTGAACTCAAGAAAACACAAAATTTGGAATATGTAGAGCGCTTTAGGTGACAGCACATGAAACAACGTGGTCAGTCTCATAAAGGAAGATTTGAAATCATCTTTCCAAGCTGATTTTCCAGTAATTAGGCAGGAAAGCTTCTGCAAAGGGCAAAATTGGGTGAATTTGAGTTGATCCTCGGAGGAAATTGGATGGGAAATTCTCTCTGTTCTGGGATAATTACAGTAATTCAGCTTCTCTTTTCTGCGAATGCATTGATCATTCTGAGGGCACAAGGCAATCCTGGTAGGCTGGGACAGCAGATTTCCAGGGAAACTCTATCCCAAGGCACCATCACTCGGTCCTGGTGTGCTGAACGATGGGAACTGGGGGAGCAGAGTGGGGAATGCAACATTTGGCATTCCAAGAGCCTTCTGTGGGATACACACACACATATATATGAATTATTTTTACTTGTTGGCTATTCCAGAGAAATTCCAGGAATCCCATTGGCAATAATTAGCCTTTTCTAGCACATCATTTGTGTCCACTGCACACTAAAGATGAATTTCACCAGCAAAACATTTCCTGCTGCAGCTGCATTCCAGGTGTGATTCTCCTGATGCATAATCCATAGAAATATTTATTTTAGTCCAGTTAGAGCTCTTGCACCCCACTACCCACACCAGCTTCAGGCAAATTTAACACACATTTTATAGGAAATCAAACAGAATATGTGGCATTACTTGTTTTAAAGTGGTGCTGGCATATTTATCCCCACATGTATCCTCATGGAAATTCTCTTTATTCCCTTTTTTTCCCCTTTTTCAGTGTTAATAATGTTACTGTAACAGTAACCAGCACTTAAAATAAGTATTCAGAGGCTGGTTCTGGCTCTGTTTTATATTAGATATTCCTCCACAGAAGTCAAAGGAATGAACTCAGAGTAAAGCCACTTCAGTGAGACTAAAGTCAAGCTTAAAGGGAAATATCTCCAACAGACTGAACCTAAACTGTGGATTCTCAGATTTTTTTTTTAAAAAAAAAAGTTTTAAAAAAAAGTTTAATAAGGACTCAACTGTTCTCAGAAATTTGTGTTTGTTGAGTTAGAAAATGTAAAGCATTTCTGGAGATGTGAAAATGCCCAGGCATCATCAGCATTTTCAATTAAATGAGAAGCTGATGAGATCTGGTCGTGGGAAGCAGAGATCTTAAAGTCTATGGTCAAGCTGAACCTGTGCTTTGTTTTGGGGGCTGTGAAATTAAAATCATTATCATTAAAAAAAATAATGGAATCTGGAGAAAAAAGGGTGAAATAGGCAGTTTGGGCTAAATAATGATTTCAGGCTTTGACCCTTCCATTTCTTAGGAAAAAGTACCCAAAAGCACTTTTAGAACAAAACTATTGAAAGAAGTATCAAATTATTATTATTTTTTAACAACTGCTCAAAATATTCTAGATCTTAGGAGTTGTCTTCTTCCCTAATCTCTTTCATCCCTCAAAAAACTAACACTAAACACAACTCAAATTCATCAAAGAGTTCATTACCTACCACTTCCTTTCCCCTTAAAAACTGAATATTGATAAATAAGCATTAATTTTCTCTCCATGTACATGCAGAAGTAAATTCTGTACATTTTAATCAAGGTATAAAGAAAACAGCTCCAAGCCTGCCAACATTTATTTGTGCTGGATGCAGCCCAGAGCACGTGGCTGAAGGGGATCATGGTAAAATCCAGCTCCTCTTTGGTGGATGGAAGGAGTAAAATCCACATGACTCAAATTAAAAGTGGATAGAAAGTTTTAATTTAATTTAATTTTATTATCCTCAGCTCCATCGTGGTTTGGAGTGGTGGCAGGGACTTTCCAGCACAGGGGTGTTGGCAGGATCGGTGTCCAAAGGTGTCACACATCACCCAAAAAGATTCTGCTGAGATGATTTTGGATGGGACAGGGCAGGGGATGTGATGAGCAAACCTCTCTACAAAGGGGATCCCCAACCCAGCCCAACAGATTTAGGAATTCACTTAAAAATCTCAACACAACGTTCCAGAATTGTGAAGGAATCTTGTTTTTTCACCCCTCTATGGCACAACTGACCACCCTGTCCTTTGTTTTACTTATCTTGTGAGTGGCCCATCATTTCAGTTGAGAAATGAGGAGAGAATTCGTTCTTTAGAAGAATCAGAAAATGTCAAGGATCTTTGCCCCGATGTGGGTGCTACACACCAGTAATAGCATTTTGCTATTGTAAGGGATTTTCTAGAAGGGATTGTCTTTTGTCTTGTGCCTCA